TTTTTTTTTTTTTTTTTTTTTTTTTTTTAAGGAACAAGGGCTTCATTCAGAGCAGAGCTGCAATTGACCCCGCAGAAGTATACGGATCATCCGTAGGCTAATTCACAGCCTACACTGGAAGTGGGGCTGTTTTGTTTCCGTGGCTCTGTGAGGATTTGGTGGCGCTGATGAATCAACATCTCTCAAGATCTCAGATCAAACTGACATATTGAAGTGGAAGGACAGCACAGTGGTTAAAGCACTTCCCTCCAAATTCGTAGACCTGGGTTGGGGTCTCAGCTTTATAAGCTTCTTGTGTCTGTGAGCAACAGCTATCTGCTTAAGATGCAAATTATAGCAGTATCCAGCTTCACAAGAGGTAGGGTCAAGGATAAGTCCATCCGTGAAGTGCCTGGATACTGCAGGAACAGGGGTCAAGTACTTAAGACAGTCGAGCCAAGGACAGATGCCCAACATGTATTGCATGGATCAGACAAGAGGCCTACAAACCAGCCCACAGGCTTGACACACAGCCCTGTGACCGGCTACATCAGCCAGGGCATCGCTTCTTCCTTCCACCCCATAAATTAACTCTGTCTTTATCAACAGTCCTGCCTGAACAAAATTTGTTTCAGGATTACACAGATCCCAGCTGCTAAAATCCACAACACATGAAACATGCCTTGCAAGGCATTTCAGTACTGCCAACCCTTATGATTTTGGGCATTGCTGTTAAAGTCTATGCTTTGGGAATGTGAAAAATGTAGCTCTTTCTTTTATATATAAGAAAGAACTAAGATTTTCACATTCCCGAAATGGAGACTTTGAGAACAATGCCAACAATCGCGAGGTGCTGGCAATACTGGTATTCTGAATTCAAACCAAGGGCACAATTCTTCTGGATCCACCCAGCTTTTCTCTTGCCATTCCCCACCCAAGAGACAGTTGCAGATACTGTGCAAGCAGGCTATTTTTACCTTTTCTCTTCTGCTTTTTCTTCCTTGTCCTGCTTCCTCTTTGCACTGGAAGTCTCTGGACTCTCGGTTACTTTGTGATGCTAGAGTTTCAACAGGAAATAAAGCGTCACACCAGCATGCTGCTAACAAATCAGCCCTCGATACTGTTAAGAGGATGTCAAAGCTGAGGATAGGAACATCCTGGTGATATACATCAGGTCCAAACCCAAAGTTCATGGAGGTGAGGACAACCAGGTCAGGTTCTTCTCCATTATCCCCCACCAATACACCACCCAGTTCTCAGGAAGCATCCAGATGAACAGCAGAAGATCATGGGGACAGGATCACCTCCTCTGCCACAGAGTACCCCCCTGACCTCAGGCAGGTCACTTAGGCCAAGCTTACACTGATATTTAGGGTCAACCTTGAGGTCATATGAGGCATCTCCTCCTTATCTATATCAGACTTCGTTGCCACACCAGTGTCACAGATTGCTCTTCTTTCGTGAGCACAGCACTAAGACGCATCCTAGCTTTCCCTGCGGTGCCCTTCTAGGAATCAGCCTGTAGACGGTTTGTTTCTAACTCAGGGGCAATAGAGAAGGGGCAATGAGGTGCAGAAGAGGTGGAAGAGAGGAGCAATGCACTTCCTGGGCTCAAGGCCTACGTAAGTTCATACCACAGTGCAGTGAGAGCACAGGCCAAGAGATGAGGGGGAGGGTGGGTGTCAGCCTCATACCCGGTATCTCAGCAGAGCTTCCAGGCTCAGGTTAAACTGCTGTTGAGAGTCAAGGAAAAGGGTTCACAGTGTGGATAGCGGCAGGTACACGCTTAAGGATGGCTACAAGTACAGACACAGCCTTAGCTCCCTATGCCTCACACCCCCAGTCTGTAAAATGGAGGCCATCTTATATTCTTGCAGCACTTCTGCAGGGTACAGAACTACGCTGCAATCATAACATGCTCAGACGTTAAGGGGACATGGGCCCACATAGAGCCAACATCAGCATGGGGACAGATTAGTCCCAACACAAAAGCACTCCCAAAACATGAGCAAAGGGAAACCAATCTCACAGGACGGCAAAGCACTGGCTTAGGTGGGAGGGACACCACAAAGCAAGAATTGTACCTCTCCCAAGCACCCAGCTTCCCAGCCCCAAGGAGTAAGCCATCACCCAGAGTCTGGAAAGACTCACCGTGAACACAGAAAGCCCCAGCTTGGCTGCCTCTTTGTCTTCTTTGGAAAGCGTCATTCTGCCAGAACAGCCACTGGAAATCAGAGCAACACCATGTGGGCACTTAAAGGTGACGTTCTCCGGTGCACGTGTGCCACAACCACAGCTGAGCAAATGACATTTTTAGAGTGCGGCAGAGGAACGTCCTTGCCTCACCCAGACTCAGGAGCCCAGTGTCCCCGAAGTCTGTTCCCAACCCTGCCACAGCGTTACTGCAGGATCTCGGCACAACCCTTTAATCTCTGCCACCCCTGCACTTCCTCTGGGGATCACTTTGCTTAAGAGGGTGAGTTGCAAGGATTCAATGGCGGTAATAAATCACTCTAGAACCCTTTGATGGGACACCCCACAAAAAAAAAAAGGGCACAGCATTATTGCTATCCCGCAAGATCGCCCAGAAATGACCAGACAAATGGGTCCTCTCTGTTTCTTTAGACTCCTCTTGTACTATGTGAAGCAGACCCATTGAGTTTCATTTCCATCCTTACTGGTCAAGCCAGGTTAGGGCTCTGTGGATGTACAACAATCTGTAGCATATGTCTGCAGTGGTTGCAGGAATGCTACCTACACAGCACTTTGAACTTCTCAATATGCTACTAAGATGCTCTTCCCTTTGCTGGAGAAAGATGTGACCTGCTTCCCTAGAAGGAAGCTGCTGATTGGTCAGTTCTAATTAAACTTACTAGATCACATCGCTTCCTATTTGGCATGTCTGTTCTGGGGGCCAACAGGATGATTCATGGTCTGCTACCATAGTGGTGGCAGAGGACAACAGAAGGGCAACAGGAAGAGAAACCTGCAGAGGATCCGGGGAGCAGAGAGCTGCAGAAGCAAAACATCTGCCAATTCAGGGCTGCCAGAGATCGTGTTAGACAGGAACGGTTTCAGGAACAGGGGAAAGCACTGCAGTTTCCTCCTTGTAAGAGGACAGCCCCCTACCTTGAGCTCCCCAGCCCCACCACACGATCCACATCTTTATCTTCCTGTTCCACTCCGTCGCGCTTACAGACCTCGGCCAGGTCCTGCGGACAGACAGGCGAGAAGGAACATTACGTCTGTGGGACTGAACAATGAATTGGGCAAGCTGGTAGCACCAACCTCCCCGTGGCAGGAGAGACTGGTGTGACCCCTGACAGGGCATGAAAAGGAGAAGGGGCCAAAGAAGCTGCATGTCACTTCGTGACTCCCATCAACCAAACCGTGCAAAAATCCTCTGGGATAAGCAAGTACCACAGAGGAAGCAGCTGGCCTTCGCCTGGTGGAAAGGGCACCGGGTTGAGACTCAGGAGGGTATTAAGGTGTTATCCCACTTGTAAAAGAGGACTGGAAATAATAGCTTCCCCATAGCAAATGCAGCTCAGTTTTTGCTCTGCCTAATCCCTAGGTACTGGGCTGCAAAAGCCACCTCACTCCTGCTATTGTCTGGCTCCCCACTTCCATGCTCAAATCGCATTGCATCTCAGTGTCTCCAGCCCCACTGCCGTGACACGGGCTGAAAGCAGCTTTAAAGCCCAGCTTTCCCATGATGCAAACCACAGCTGTGACAGATCCCCAGGTTTTTGCTGCTGTAAGCATCATTTTTTGCTCTCTGGACACAGGCTTTGGTGCCAAAAAACTGGGGGGGGGATTTGAAAATGCCACTCCACCCAAGAGTAGCTCTCCACTGCTAATCTAGAGAACTACAATTCCCAGAATGCCTTGCACCTCAGGATGCTCCCCAGCTCTCTCCTCTCTCCATACTCTGCACCTGCAATTAAGAAGGTGGATGAAGGGGAGAGATGGCTTCTCCAGGAGTACTTTTTCCTGCTAGGCCTCCGTGCTCCTGAAGAGACTGGCTACTCCATCAGTCTGAGACCAGAAGAGAAGCAAGGTGGGGAATCAGAAAGTGTTTGGGGTTTTGGATGCACTTTTTTTTTTTTTTTTAAAGGGGGCAGAAACATTTTTTAGGGAGCAATATGTAACTGAGGACCAAGTAACCTTTCCTACAGACCTGTTTCTGACTCTAAAGGCTGAAACCTCACCCTCACTCCCCAAAGGTGAATCCTTGTAAGCACCACTCTGTTTAAAGCATTCATTTCAGTACTCTGGCATGCAAAGCCCAGATAGACTACGCTATCATGAAATGCCATCTTCCCCCCAGCCCAGAAGTGCCACGGCTCCCAGGGGATGGAGGCCCATGTTACCTCTTTGCTCAGGCCGGTGGGGTGTCTCTTCATATTCTTGTAGCCTCTAGAAAAAGTCAAATCCACAATATCATCATACAAAAAAGCAAAACAAAAACAGGCGATGTCAGGCTCCCGTATCACCCGAGAGAGAGAGAGACAGAGAGACAGAGAGAGAGACAGAGAGAGAGAGAGAAAGACTCAATCTGGTGTTGTCATGAACGTACTCCCCATCAGTTCAGCTCTAGGAGATTACCAGGTCAGCAGACCAGAGACGCCATGAACCACAGGTGCAAGAGACTCCAGAAACAGAAACATTTCTTTGGTTAATCATATTTTAGGGATACAGAACTAGAAAGGCCTCCTGGGAGCTCAAGTCCAAATCCCTGCATTCAGACAAGCGCATATCCTAAACATCATCCACGTCGAACCCTCTCCTGCCCAGCAGATTCTGCGTCATCGCATATTGGTTATTCACACATTTTACTTATTTGCCTACTTTCTCTTAGAACAAAAACCATTTGCTCTCTCTTCAATTAGATTTTACTTGCATAGCAGCTTTGGGCACATTTTTGGTTTGCTGCATAAGCCAAAGCTAGAAAAAGAAAGTCTAGAATCAGTTAATTCAGGGGTATCAAACAAATGGCCTGGGAACTGGAGCTGGTCTGAGGACCCACTTTATCTAGGGAGAACTGCCAGAGGCAGAGTCCTGGTGGATGTGGCAATGAGTAGCAGGAAGGCAAATGAGGGCCAACACCTTCCCTCCCTACAGACTAAACACCCACAGAGGAGGGTGGGGCGGAAAGCCGAGGTGACTTCCCAGGCTGCGACTACCAATTCACAACCAGAAACGCGTATTGGAGAAGGCAGCGCTGAGCGTGTGGAAGTCACCAGTGCGATACATCCCACCTGAACTTACAGTGCTGCCATCATGGCCTCCTGTTCGGCCAGCCGGACGGCAGCCAACTCTTCTTCCCGGGACATCTGCACGCCCTCCTTCTTCCCCTTCGCATACCATGTGAGGTCCTTCCCCTTCTGCCACCTTCCCACCGGAGCCATGAGGGAATTCCCTGCCGCAGAAAACGAGAGAGGCCGTCAGCAGAACCAGGACATCCGGCCTGTAAAGACGTCGCTGCCCAGGCAGCAGAACAGACTCAGATCCATGACTCGGGTCACATGGGGACCAATCCACTGGGATCAGAGACCTGGGTTCAGTTCCTGGCTCTGCCACTGACCTGCCACATGATCCTGGCCAAGTCACTTCATCTCTCTGCCTCAGCTTCTCCACAAAGAGGGTAGATGCTGTTACCCCCATGGGAAGTGCTCTGGCACACGAGCAAAGAGCTCTACAAGAACCACCCAGCTCCTGTCCTTAGCCAGGCCCAGGGCATCCTGCAGAGGCACCTGTTTGAAAATGCAAGTCTATTCGGCCAATATATCCCAACCTCTATCCTTCCAGTAACAGCTCACTGGGATGGCTCAGGAACCTCCCCCGTAATAGAAACCCAAGCCAACAATACCCGGATACCTTACGTTTATATAGCATTGTTCATCACTAAGGAACCACAAAGGGCTTTCTAACCCTATATAAGCCACTGCGCTGAAAAGCAGCCAAATCTAGGGTGGAGTGTGGCAGCCACGTGACACACAAGCACCCTCACAGATGGCAGAAAAAGGTTGTGTTGGCAACAGGACAAGCCACTAAGCTTCTAAGAGTGGCATTTTATGAACAGGCAACATGCGAGAGCCCATCTGTGCGGTATTGGTATGGAAACTTTGTACTGCTGCAGCCCCCGAAGTGTTTTCGCGGCATGA